ATGCCTACACTGTCTTCTAGACTAGTAAGGCGTTAAAAATTAAACGATATAAATAGCTGGCAAGTTTTTTGAGACCACAAAATTTCCAATCTAGAGAAATTTAGTGTTTAAACATAGGTTATCTAAACATGTTAAAATAAAATGTCGAAATATGAATGGGCAGAGATAAAAAAGATTTACATTACTTTTCTTGGGTAGTTTAAAATAAAGGGATCCCTGTTTAATGATATTCTACGGTAAAATAAACCTAAAATTTAATACAAGTCAGAAAATAAGCTTGTCGTACCTTTAGCCAAACGTAGAACAGCCAAGTAAAAAGTTATCTTAACATCAAGGAAAAATCAATAAAAAATATTACAATGAATTGAAGTGCAAGGCTGAGTGGAGCAAAGATGGCACTACCTGAATGCGTGTATCTAGATTGCTAGGAGCATGCCGCAAAGCATAGCTTAGCATTAGGCTTGCAGCGCGTTCGACTTCTTCTGGATAACGCAGACGTTTGAATCCAGGTGACGAAGCCAGCATCTCCGCCCATCGACCCCAACCCCATGTCATTAGAAGGCGTTCTAATCTAAACAGATCTACACGGTCAACTGGCTCTAGCTTCTCCAACAATAGGCGCTGCTGAAGGCGGTGTCGTTGTAGCGAATCAATGTCCATTCCGGAAGTCACAGACATATTTATGAAACCGATGGAACCATGCTCAAGCCCCTCAGGATGATCGGACTCGCCAAGAGCTCCCAATTGGCCCTGCAATTGAGGCTGGAGCTGCTGCTGCTGGGAATGGCGGCGACTTTTCCTATTTGCCTTTCGAGAGCCGCGTCGGCCACCGACAGAGCCATAGGCTCGTGAACCAGAAAGATTCCCACTCGGAGAGCCAGGCAAAACAGAGGATGGTCCATTGCAAGCTCCAGAGCCCAGCTCGTCGGCATCTGAGCTCCAGTAGGTTGAGCTCTCATCAGATGGATCTAGCTCGCGCATAAGCTGTGGAGGGTTATCAGCGGCATAACGATTGGTTTGACGCCGCTGACGCGGAGTCGCTACTATTAGATTCTAATAAAAAATAAC